GACCTGTTCCTTTGCGGCTAGCGCACGCTGTCACGCTGACGGTGCTCAAACAGGCTCATAGCTTGAATCCCAATCAGACCTTTCCCGATGAATGCTTGCTGACCACGAATAGTGAAATTATACGTTGATAAGGAGATCAGCCTATTTTCTCTCTCTGACCTTTGACGTTTGACCTTTGATGAGCTCCCGCCTGGCCCCCCGTGTCCTCACCACTTTAATCAATTTCTGCAGGAGCTGGTTTGAGTGCTTTCAAATGGTAATTGCGTTGTGTTGTAAACAGAATCATTTGTACAATATTCTAATTAAGCTGGGGTATTTGAATGTCTCATTATGTTTACAATATAGAGTGCCACTGCAGTACAGACTACTGATGATTTATCCCAGTGTAAATTCTTCAGTAAAGCTTTGTGAATTAATCACTGCCAGGTAACTGGACGTTGATTTCTCACAGAATACACATAACAGAATACAGCACAATATTAAAAAACAATAGCAACTTATGAATGTTTAGTACTGATTGTTATATTTTCTTTAGATTATTTTATAAATAATGATGTGTGTGGGGTAATGGTATTATTTTCACACAACTAAAACTGTTGCTGCTGTGTAGAAAGTGGTGCACGCTTTTGGTCTTAATTTGTTCTTTCGTAGCAAGCGACCACACCTAGTAGCAAGGATTTAAACGAGGAGCTATGACTTAGCTGGGAATGTGAACCTGAGCGTTACTGGCGCAGTCATCACTATCCAGCCACGCTGCAGTTCGGCCCTTCGCTCTCTAACAGGTGGGGAAGCAGCTGCCGGGGTCCGCGAAGGCTGCAGAAGGGATTACACTGCTCATCGGATCGCTGGGCCCGTCTCGGCGGAACAGAGCTGCAGTTCGGTCCTCTGTGTCTGTAGCTCAAAGACACGTACCCTAGCTGTTGCGCCCACTACCCAAACACAAGCACGCTGTCCAGAGCCGCAGTGGTGTGTGCTCACGCGGACCGCTGTGCACTGGGGAGCCAGAGGACCCAGGGAGAGATTTAACATCTACTGGAAGATACGGGCGTGGTGGTGGCTCTGTGGCTCAGGATCTGCGCCTGTGGCCGGCAGAGGAATCC